TGTGTGTGTGTGTTTTCATATAAAAGTGACTCCTGTGTATATGGTTATTTATTGTGGTATTTTAAAGTTCTTGTTTATAAGTCGGTTCTGTTTATAAGTCCTGTGCCATGATCTCATGTGGTTTGGATTGATTTTTAGGGTCCTTCTTCCCTGACCCACTGCTCACCTTATCTCTTCAGCTCATGCTAAGCACAGTTCTGAGGCTGGGCTGGAGCTTGCCTGGTTCTCATTGTGAATCCCTCAAAGCATTCATCCTTTTGTGTTTGAGCATATGTGGATCGGGGGCCATTGTTGTAGAATATTATTTTAAGATGTGTTGCATTTGTTTATGCTGTGGAACATTTGTTTAATCATGCAAAGATGTGCTTCATTCTTTTATGTTGCATTTGTTTAACTCTGTAAAGCTGTGTTACTTTGCCTGTCTTAAAACACCTGATGGTCTAATAAAGAGCTGAATGACCGATAGCAAGGCAGGAGAAAAGATAGGCAGGGCTGGCAGGCAAAGAGGATGAATAGGAGGAGAAATCTGGGAGGAAAGAAGAGCAAGAGGGATCAAGGAGGACATCAAGGGCCAGCCACCCAGGAGAAGGACATCAGGGGCCAGCCACCCAGCTACACAGCAAGCCATATCATCAGTGAAAGTAAGATATACAGAAATAGAGAAAGGTAAAAGCCCAGAGGCAAAAGATAGATGAGATAATTTAAAGTTAAGGAAAGCTGGCTAGAAACAAGCCAAGCTAAGGTTGGGCATTTATAATTAAGAATAAGCATCTGTGTCATGATTTGGGAGCTGGGTGGTAGGCCCCCCAAAGAGCCAAAGAGTAAAAAACAGCCAACAACAGAGCATGGCCTTCTTGCTTTCCTGTTACTTTCAGAAACTGGAGCAGGGAGGTCAGGGGGTTCTGGACAAGGTGTTCTCCAAACAGATGATAAAGTGGTTTTGGCTGTTCATTTTCAGAAGGACATCTGGGCTGTATAATTTGCTTTGTAGATATGCAATTGCTTTAGTAATCTGCAGGGCACTATGATCAGGGAAGATAGTAGCTGGATATCTAGAACTTCTCACAGTTTTGTCTCATGGAGTTCCCCTACTAAAGCTTTCAAATGTGCAGCAAGGAACAACAGGAGGAGACAGGGAATTCTCTAGGGCTCCACCTACATACATAGTCACAGTGTGAACACCAGTTGCTGAGTTCACTGAAAACGGAGATATCCTTGATCTGGGGAGGAAGGATGGTGTGAGTTCCATTCTTGTCTGTCACAACACCATTTGGGTAGCATCTAAACTGATCAGCCTGGAAGAGCAACCCAAGGGTAATTTTTGTAACTAGTAGACGGGATAGCCAGAAAGTCTCATAGGTACCTTCTTTTTTCAGTAAGGCCATGGGGCCACGTGAGACAAAGGACCCCTTCAGTGAGACACTTTTTCTCTGTCACTATTTGACGATCAAAAGTTGGGTATCTATACTCCTAGCACTCAGGAGGCAAGAGGATTGAGTTTAAGGCTAGCCTGGGCTATATTATGAGTTTGAGGCCAGCTTAGGGGACATGGGGACCACTACCTCAAAAACATCACATGGGACTGGAGAGATGCCTCAGTAGTCAAAGAAGACATATTTCAGAGGACCTGAACCCACTTCAGGTGGCTCACAACCACCTGTAACTCCAGTTCCAGGGGACCCAATGCCTCATCTGGTCTCCAAGGGCACCTGAATTCATGTGTGCATACATGCTGCCCCCATATAAACCTGTGACTTGAAAAAAAAACTACAACAACAACAACAACAACAACGAATCAGGTATGTTTACTTTGCTGAAAATGAAACTCTTATCTGGCTTGAATTTTTGCATGTTCATTACTCTGTAACTCACAGGCTTTGAGTAGTCTAGGTCACAGACTAGCAACCTTTTCCTGGAAAGTGCCTGGGAGTAAACATTTTTGACTTTGTAGGCAGCATGTTTTTGGCCTACTCTGTCACCACAGTGTGAAATTCTCTATAGAAAATGTCTTGCTCACTGTTCTATTGCTGTGAAGAGACACCATGACCACAGCAACCCTTTTAAGACAAAATATTTAATTGGGGCTGGCTTACAGTTCCAGAGAGTTAGCTCATTATCATCACAGTGGGGAGCATGGCGGAGTTCTGGCTGGCACTGGAGCAGTCGCAGTGAACAGTGCATCCTGATCTGCAGGCAGAAAGAGAGACTGGGCTTGGCATGGGCTTTGGAAACCTCAAGTAATACCACTTTCTCCCACAAGGCCACGATCCTTGTAATCCTTTCAAACATTCACTGGTGACCAAGCATTCACATACATGAGGCTATAGGGGGTCATTCTTATTCAAACCACCACAGAAAATATATAAGTGGATCAGTATGGTTTTTTTTTTTGAAGTAATTTTATTTATGATCACTGACATTTGGATTTCACATAATCATTTTTAAGATTTACTTCTTATATGTGTATTTGTGTATGTCTTTGTGTGTACCATGTATTTGCAGGTGCCCAAGGAGGCTGGTAGAGATCATAGTTCCCATGGTGCTGGAGTTAGAGGCGGTTGTGAGCCACCTGACATGGATGTTGGAGACTGAATTTGGGTCCTCTGGAAGAGCAGCAAGTGATATTAACCACTGAGCCATTTCTCCAGCCCCTTAGATAATTTTTATGTGTCATGGAATATTGTTTTTTCAATTATTAAAACATGGAAAAAAATTTCTTAACTCACGGCACATACACAGACAGATGGAGGATAGGAGTTGGCCGGCAGCCTGTCATTGGCAGACTCTTGCTCTGGATCCAACACATTGGTGTGGCTCCCTCACAGGCAGAGCAAAGAGCTCCAGCCATCTGGGCTGCTGTGGGAGCTTTTGTGGAGCAGGCAAGCAATCACAGCAATGGGGTTTGTCTTAGAGGGCTTTGAGGCCCTATTGGACCCTAGAGAATAACCTTGTTTCTCCTCTCTCTTGACCTTGTTCTCAGTTGTGTGTGTGTGTGTGTGTGTGTGTGTGTGTGTGTGTGTGTGTGTGTGCAGGTGTGTGTACATGTATGCTCACATCAGGCCAGATGTTGGGTGTCTTCCTCTTTTAATCTCAATCTTAGTTTTTGAGACAGGGTCTCTCACCGAACCTTGAACTCACTGATTCAGTGAGACTGACTGACCTGTGTCCATCCCAGCACTGGGGTCAGAGATGCATGCTTTCATCTCCGGCTTTTACACTGGTGCCAGGGATCCGAACTCAGATCCTGATGCTTGCATGCAAACACTTTACACACTGAGCCATCTTCCTCATCCTGCTAATGTATCTTTAACTGTCTAAGTTTAGAGACATCCCTGCAAATGAAGCCATAGTCTAGTGACTACTTAGTTTCGTTGGCGTAGGCAATGATATGCTCTGTCTTAGCTTGCTTCTCTGTTGCTGTGATAGACACTAGGACCAAGACAGCTTGGGGAGGAAAGGGTTTAGTTTGTCACAGTCCATCACTGAGGGAAGTCAGGGAAGGAGCTAAAGGGAGGAACCTGGAGGCAGGAACTGAAGGAGAAACCATAAAGAAATACTGCTTACTGGCTCACTTTCCATAGCTTGCTTCAGATTGCTTTTTTTATAGAACCCAGGACCACCTGCCCAGGGATGGCTCTGCTCATAATGGGCTGACTCCTCCCACATCAATCATTGATGGAGAAAATATCCCACAATCACACCTGTATCTTACAGAAGCAATTCCACATAGATAGAGAGTCCCTCTTCCCAGATATGTCTGAGCGTGTGTCAAGTTGACAAAAACTAGAGGTTGGAATTTGGGCTCTCTGGTGCAAGACGGTTGGATTGGGCACCTTGGCCCCAGAAACCTTTGATGGTATGGACTTAAAAGAGGCTTCTTGGGTGTCAGGCCCTCTTTCTTCCCACAGGTAGAAAAGCTAGATAAATACTGGAATTGAGGTCCTACCTGCCCAGAGAAATAACACCGAAGGCTCTCCTTCCTGTCGCCGCTGTTGTGAGGACACGGCTCTTTCCAGAAATGGCTGTGTAGACTTTGCTCTCTTAGGTTTAACTGTGCTGTATGTAGAAACACAAAGGTGAGGAAGACAGTCCTGCCTTTTCAGACTCAGGTGAGATGTGAGCAATGGGGACACATGTTTGGAACCCATTCAGGAGCTCTAGTGTGCATGGGTCCCACAGCAGGGGGGGGAGGTTCTAGAGATAGAGGGTTGGAGAGATACTCAGAGGGCCAGATCACAGAAGACCTCACAGGCCTTTCTCAAGAATGGATCCAGAAGCAGTGGGAAGCCGTGAAAAGCTAGTAGGAGGCTTTCAAGCAAGAAGATTTGGGGCTGTGATCTGAGTTGGAGGATGGACATCTCCGGCTACATTAACTTAGGGGAAAAAGCAGGTCAGTGCACCCGGGGCTGAGAAGAGTCAACAGAGAGATTTAAAAGCTAGGAGCTGAAGAGCGTGTCCACCACCAGGTGAGGGCTCATCCAGAGCAATCCTGCTTGGGAGGGTTGGAATCTGGGAATTATGGTAGCACTGGCCACAAAGGGAGTAGCAGAAGTGGGTGGAGTAGCCCCTGTTCTGTTAGGACCAAATAGTCGACAAGAAGCAGCTGACGGGAGAAGAGATTTATCGGAGCCCACTCAGCCTGGGAAGGCTCGTGAGGACCTGTGGTGGCGAGGTGGGAAACGCCTTGCTTTTATATCTCAGCAGGTTACAACTGGTCAGGTTGGAATCAGGGCAAGCTATAGCCTATAACGTCTGCCTCCAAGAGACCCACCTCCTAAACACAACAGTCAGCTCCACAGCAGTAGGAACATGAGGGTGAGACTTTGCAATTCATTACATCTTGGAGAAACAGGAGGCAGAGCTGGGACAGGAATGGAGGCTGGTCTGTAAATCTCAAAGCCCATCGACCCCAGGAAAAACCCATGTCCCCAAAGTTCCATGGCTTCCCAAACAGTGCCATTAGCTGGGACCAAGTATTCAAACCAGCCTGGTAGGGGCATTTCACATGCAGACTGTGAGTGAGTGTCGAGGAGGTGTTGGACAATGGTGAGCAGTGAGGCCGTCAGCTTCAGGCCTGCTCGCTGAGGTCTCTGAGGAAAATGTAAGTAGACAGAGGGCTGGGCTGCTTGTAGACCAACTCCAGTTGTGCCCAGAGCTGAAGTCAGCCAGGGAGAGGATGAGAAGGAAAATGGAGCAAAGGTAACTCCTCAAAGATCATACACAGTCAGGGCTCAGTAAACAGTGGCGGATGGACGCGTCCACACTCAGGAAGGGAGAATGTGAGAGACTAGAGGGGCAATGTGTGTGCACATGTGTTTCTATGAAGATGTTTATTTTGAAGCTTATAATACTAAGAACTTAAAATAACAGAAATAGTCAACAATGGAATTCTCATAGCATGTCTTATGATATAACATCACCAAGTCATCAAAATGGTTTTTTTTTAAATAAAGGAAAACACTCAGGATTTAGAAAATATTTACTAAGATATTACTTCTGTCAGATCCCATATTAATTGGCTTTCTGCAAAATATGCAAGTAATAGAAACTACTACCTTAATGTTCATTTATAATTTAGTAATTATTAGTCAGTTAAATTTTCTTATTTTCTGTCTTTCCTCAAAATCTGTACAATACTTTTGTATCACTGTGTTAGCTTTCTGTTACTGAGAAAAAAATAACAGAGAAAATCCACTTAAAGCGGGAGAGATTGATTTTATTTTGCAGTTTCAGTTCCTGGCTGGCTAGCTGGCTGGCTCCATCGTTTTGGGCCTGAGGCAAGGCAGGCAGTGGTGATGATGTATGGCAGGAGGAGGCTGCTTCTTCATGCAGCCAGCAAGAAAGAGGGTGAGAGAAAGGGAGAGAGATAGAGGGAGAGAAAGAGAGAAGCAGGAGTCAGAGAGAGGGAAGGGCCAGGGGGAAGGTTAGGTTAAGACATAGCTCCTAAGAGCCCACCCCACCCCACCCCACACATATGCTCCCTCAAACTAGGGCCCACCTCCTCAATCACCATCACCTCTGAACCTATCAATGGATCCATCCCTTGATGAACTCAGAGCACTCGTGGTTCATCACTCCCAATGTCCCCTCTCTAAACTGTATTAGGAAGCAGTTTTTAACAAGTGAGCCTGTGGGGGATAGCTCAGATCCAAACCATAACCACGACTGTGGTAAGTAAATCCACCTGAACAGGTAGGATGCCAGAGGTGGGCCAGCAGATTTAATAAGGCAGAAATCATTAGCCAGTTAGTCAGAACTATTTTGTTATTTTCAAGATGTTGAACCATCCTTACATCCCGGAGACAAACATCACCTGGTTGAGTTTGGTTTTTGATTGAGTAAAAAAAATTATCAGTAAAGCAGCAGAGAATTTAAAATTTTCATTGAGGGTTTTGTGTCTAGATTCATCAGAGATACAGGTCTGTGGATTTCTATCCTGAGGTATTTTTGTCTGGCTTTGATATCAGACTAATACTGACCTCTCAAGTCTTTATTCCTCTTGAAATTTTTGGAAGATGGATAGATGGATTGGCATTGATTTTAAATTTGTGAGACTTTATTAGTGAACTTTTTTGAGATCTTGGCTAATGAGTCGATTTCTGTACTTGTGATGGATGGCATACACTTTTCTGTTTCTTCATGTTTTAGGTACAGTATATTGTGTGTTTCTAGGAATTGATTTATTCATTTCTTCTAAGTTATCCAGCCTGTTAGTGTATAATTAATTCATCATCGTAGTTTTGAATGATCCTTTTAAAATTTCTTTGACATCAGCTATACCATTTTTCATTAATTTCTACTTTCATTGAGTATTCCTTCTTTTTCTTAGTCTAGCTAATAGTATTTCAATGTATTTATCTTTTCAGAATTTTAATGCTTTATTTCATTTTTTAAAAAACTGTCTTTTGGTTCCTTATTTTGTTTATTTCTGCTCCCATCTTTATTTCATTCTTTTTGCTAACTTTGGGCTTAGTTGGTGTCTTAGTTAGGTTTCTGTTGCTGTGATAAAATACCATGACCAAAAGCAACTTGGAAAGGAAAGGCTTATTTCATCTTATACTTCAAGATGCCCATTGCCAAGGGAAGTCAGGACAGGAGTTTAAGCAGGGCAGCCATGGAAGAATTCAGCTGACTGGCTTACTCCTCATGGCTTGCTTAGCCTGTTTTCTTATGGAACGCAGGACCACCTTCCCAGAGGTGATGTGGTCCACAGTGAGTTGGGCCCTCCACATCAATCATCAATCAAGAAAATTCATCACAGGCTTTCCCAATAGCTAGTCTGGTAGGGACATTTTCTTAATTAAGGTTTCCTCTTCCCCAATGACTCTAGCTTGTATTTAGATGATGTAAAACTAGTTGATGTATGACTTGTTCTTTTCTAATTCCTTGAGGTGTGAAGCCAATTGTTTATTTTGTATCTTTTGTGGTGCACACCTTTGATCCCAGCACTCAGGAGGCAGAGACAGGCAGATCTCTAGGAGTTTGAGGCCAGCCTGGTCTACAGAACTCTAAGAGTTCCAGGACAGCTAGGGCTACACAGAGAAACCCTGTCTTGAACAAACAAACAAACAGACAGACAGACAGACAGACAGACATTTACTACATTTATACAGTATAACTCCCCTACCTGACTACTCTGTGTGGGTAGAGGTGTGTGTGCACATTTGTAGCATGTGTGTGTGGGTCAGAGGGCAATTTCAGAACACAGCTGTCTCCTTCTACCACAGACCTCAGGTCATTAGGCTTCTTGGTGATTGTCTTGGCCTTAGACATTTTTCTGACCCTGTCTTTCTTTTCTTTAATACTTGCTGTGATAAACTGCCTTACTATTGCCTTTACTACATTTATGTGCCCTGAAATCTAAGGTGAGCTTCTTTTAGACAGTCTGTGATTGGACCTTGTTTTCATTCATTCAGCCCCATCATGTCTCTTTATTGTAGAGTTTAATCCGTTTACATGTAAGGTCATTATTGAAGAGGAAGGATTTACTATTGCTGTTCAGTTAACTGTCTTGCATTCATCTGATGGTCCTTTTCTCTGACTTCTTCCTTTGTGTGTGTTGTGTTTTATAGGCTTGAACACTCATGTGCACGGTGGTTAACTTTATGTGTCAATTTCAGTGGGTCATAGGATGCTCACGATAAACTTGGTTTTGGGGCACGTCTGTGAGAATGTTTGAGTTAGTGGACTAAATAAGTAGATTTTCTTCCTCTCTGTGGGTATCATCTAATTCACTGAGAGTTGGAATATAACAAAAGGTGGAAGAAGTGGGGGGATTTGCTTCTTTTGCTTGCTGTTGCCTAATTAAGCTGGGATGTGCCATTTGGTCTCCTACCCTGGCTCTCAACCCTTTCGAGTAAGTTAGATCATTGGGACATTACGGACAGCAGATTATAGACCTTCTCATGCTTCATAATTATGGGAAGAATTCCTCACAACCACACTCCAACCTCTCCTACAATTTAATATGGAATGTCCCCCCATAGGCTCATCTTCTGAGTACTTAGTCACCTGCCTGTGGTGATAATTTAAAGATGGTAGAGCCTTTGGAATGGGGTGTGGCTGGTCAGTTGGGTGACCAGGAGTGGGCCTTCGAATGTTGCACATGCTGTGACAATTATTTTCACCATCAATTTGACAAAATTTAGAATTTCCATGGAAACATACCTCTGGATGCTCCTATGGAGGTATTTCTAGAAAGGTTTAGCTGAACAGAGGAGTCTCATCCTGGATGTGGATGTCGGCAGCATCGTTCCGAGGGCTGGGATCCCAGACAGAATAAACATGGGAGAGTGAGCCAAGTCAGCGTCGATCTCCACTGCATCCTGACCGTGGATGCCCTGTGACCAGCTCCCTCACACTCTAGCCGCCATGCCCTCCCTGCCTGGATGAACTATGTCCCTTCATAAACTGTGAGCCCAAACAAGCCCTTCTTCCCTTCGGCGGCTTCTTGTCAGGCATTTGGTCATGGCAATGAGAGAAGTACCGAATACAGAAAACCAGTACCAGGGCCGGGTCACTGCTAGGATAAACTAGACCACGTGGTTCTTAGGCCTTCAGAACTAACGGTAGGAGGGAAGAGGAAGAGTTTGGAACTTTGGGCTCGCGAAGTCCTGGAACACTGAAGCAGAGATTAACGGGCCATGGTCACAGGGCGGGGAGGGGAGCGGGGAGTTAGAAGACCAGAGGTCGAGAGAAATGTGGACAGTAGAGGGCCAACTCATGAGATTACAGAGGGGAACAAGCATTCTACCAGGAACTGGGCTAGAGGCCATTTGTACTACATTCTGGCAGAGAATCTGACCACATCCTGCCAGCATCCTAAGAACCTGAGTAAGACTGAATTAAGAAGTAATGGATTAACATATTTGGCGGAGGAAATCTCATGATGGGGGACAATTCAAGCTGTGTCAGGATCTCTATTCAGTGCTGTTATCCAGGTCCACAGTGAGAAAGAACAGCACGTGGAGCTGAAAGACGTGGAAAATGTGCCGCTTGGCCGGGAGAGGAGAGAGTTGAAAGCTGCAGACAGGTAGGTACAAATGCAGCAGCAATTGTTAGAGGAATTTGCCCCATTAAAGAGAGACCTAGAGCTCTGTGGAACGTGCCCCTACCCATCACAGCCTTCAACATGTAAAAATGAAAATGCGTTTGAAAGGCGAGACCCTGACAGAGAACGCAGCTGAAATGTTCCCTGCCTGAAGGCAGCCATGTTGACACACAGAGGCCTCTTCCACCTTGGTCCAAGGGTGCCAAGTGGCGTTTGAAGCTGGCAACAGAATTTGTTGGCATTGTCCATATGGCCCTGGTTTTGAAAGCATGACAGATACACACTTGAGGTCATGGCGTCTTGTGCCATGTTTCCAGAGAGCCATTGAGAACAGGCAATGTGTGGCCGGTAGTGGTAGCCATTCTGTGAAGCCCAAGGTTCAATGGAAACCCCAGAACCATGGGAAGTCCACAAAAGAAAGCTGCAGGCACAGGGTGAAGCCAGCCCAAGAGAGAGGTTTTGCAAGTTACAGGCAGCAGAACTGGGTGGTCCAAGCTGCCCAAGCTGTGAAAGTCCAGACCACAGCTCCAGACACGGGACATGGAGTTGCAGAATTAGGTGTTTTCCCTGATGGATTTTTATGCCCTCAGGCATAAAATCTCTCTTCTTTGGAATGAAAATGTTTATTCTATGTCATTGTACATAGGAAGTATGTAATTTATGTTCTTTTTTTAAGATTAAAAAAAAAGTACATGGGTATTTTGCCTGAATGTATGTCTGTATACCACATGCATTCAGTGCACATGGAGACTAGAAGAGATTGTCAGATCCCCTGGCACTGAAGTTACAGGTGGTTGTGAGCCACCATGTAGATATTGGGAACTGAAGCCAGGTCCTCTGGAAGAGCAGCCAGTACTCTTAACTGCTGAGCCAGCTCTCGAGCGCCATAATTTATTTTTTGTAATTGTTCACACTTAATAGATCACATTAAGCCTCAAAAGAGACTTTGGACTTTTGAGCAGTGTTGGGCTGTTAAAGACTATGAGGACTCTTACAGATGGACCAATTCTTTTTTTTTTTTTTTCAAGACAGGGTTTCTTTGTGTAGCTTTGCACCTTTCCTGGAACTCACTTGGTAGACCAGGCTGGCCTTGAACTCACAGAGATCTGCCTGCCTCTGCCTCCCGAGTGCTGGGATTAAAGGCATGTGCCACCACCGCCCGGCCAGATGGACCAATTATTACAGATGCATTATGAGATGCAAATGAGATGTTAGGGACCCAGGGTGGGATGCAGTGTTATGATTTGAAGTGATGTGTTGGAAGATCAAGCTGACAAAGGGTGGAGTCAAGGTTGTTAATCTTCGAAGGGATTTGGGTTGCCCCAGAAGCACACCTTTGAGTGTGTCTGTGAAGGTATTTCCAGAAAGGTTGAATATGACAGAGAAGACCCGGCTTGAATAGGGCAGCCCCAGCCCATGGGCTGGTGTCCTAGACTAACTAAAAAGGAGCGAATGAGCTGGGCGCCAGCATTCATTACTCTCTGTTCCCCGACTGTGGATGTAATGTGTCTCCCCCACACTCCTGCCAGCATGTCTTCCCTGCCATGACGCACTGGGCCTCTTCTTAAACTGTGAGCCTAGACAAACCTTGCTTCTTATCAGGTGTTTGGTCCATGTAATGAGAAAAGCAAGCGATCTATGTACTCTTCGTTTGAGCATGCTTTCACTCTTTTCCAATCATGTCATGTGAACAAGCCTCCACCACATCCTCTCACCACCTAGCGGCTCTGTCACACTCTGCCATGTCTTTTCCACTCTGAAGAACTGAAATCCCCCTGAAACTGTGAGCCAAATGAATGTTTCCTCTCTCGTTTTGTCATAGCAATGAAACTTACTGTTTTAGCTCATTTGAGCAGTGTTGGGCTGTTAAAGACTACGAGAACTTTTACAGATGGACTAAATGTATTTTGCATTATGAGATGCAAGTGAGACGTTAGGGACCAAGGGTGGGGTGCAGTGTTATGATTTGAAGCCATGTCTCTCTGAAGAGCTAAAACAATAAGGTTCACTTCTTTTCTCTTTTGTATAACTCTACAGGTATTTTCTTAATACACAAATAAAATATAACAGTATACTACTGTCAACTGGTGACAATGTAGCTACAACCACCTGCTAAATGATGTATTTTATTGATTTAACAATTTACATTTATCCATACCATGCATATATCTATTTTGTTGGTTTGTTTTTTTTTTTAGAGACAGGGTTTCTCTGTGTAGTTTTGGTGCCTGTCCTGGATCTCGCTCTATATAGACCAGGCTGGCCTCAAACTCACAGAGATCTGCCTGGCTCTGCCTCCTGAGTGCTGGGATTAAAGGCGTGTGCCACTGCCCGGCTTACTATGCATCTTTTAACATACTTTGGCTATAGCCATTTTTCATATTTTTGAATTTTTATTTTTATTGTGCAGCAAACAGTGATGCCCTCACTCCCATTACTGTGATACCATGTTTTATATGTGTCTACAAATTTTCCCATATGAATGTGTTCAGTGCTTTCTCATGCAACTGTGTTACTAACATCCTTTCATTTCAACGTGGACAATTCCTTTTAGACTCTAGACTCTAAAGCAAATCTGGTAGTGATGGACTCCTACAGTTTTGTTTGTCTAGGGAAGTCTCCATCGTGTGTGTGTGTGTGTGTGTGTGTGTGTGTGTGTGTGTGTGTGTATGTGTATTATATGTATGTATGTGTTCCCATGGGTCAGTGTGCATGTAGAGCCATGGGTTGACTTCAAGTCTTTTCATCGATTGCTTTTCACCTTGTTTTTTGAACAGGGCCTCTCACTGAACCCGGTATCTCCAGCCTGGCTAGGCTGGCTGGACCGTGAGCTCATGGGATCCACCTGTCTCCCTCATGCTGGGGTTACAGGTGTGTACCATTGTGCCCTGCTTTTACAAGGGTATTGAGGATCTGAACTGGGGTCCTCATGCCAGCATAGCAAGTTCTCTACCCACTGAGTCAGCTCCCCAGCCCCTTCTCATTTTTTGAAGAATATTTTTTGCTAAGCATAACATTCTTATGTTGACAGTTTTTTTTCCCTAGCACTTTGGAATTATTATTTTCACTCCCTTATATGTTTCTGATGAAAATTTGGTGTCTCAGAGAATACAATTTCTTGTCATGTGAACAAGGAAAGCACTTCAGGACAGAACCTAGGCTAGGTCACAACACAAGTCTTAAGTTTAAGGAGATTAAATGCCTTTTCTGATCACTAAGGGATGAAACTGGTGAATAGCATGGGAAAATAGGAAAATTTAAAAATCCATGAAAATGAACAAACATCAAACATCTGTTGGATCCAAGAGTGACCAAGACATTTGTAGATTGTTGCTTTCAAAATTCTTGTTTTCATAGTTTGATTACAATGTATTTCCACAGAGAAAAGTAGATTTCTTAGTATTCATCTGTTTTGGGAACCTGGTGTCTTCTTAGATATGGGCATTTCCTTCTCTCAAATGCAGGAAGGCGTCTACAAGTAAACCTTCAGGACTTTCCTCTTCTCCATCAAATGCTCTGATAACGAGTCCATCTAAGTACTGGTGTCTTCTAAGAACCTTCAGCTTCCTTCATTCTTTGCCGACTCTGTTTCTCCTTGTTCTCCTGATCAAATCATTCCTAGAGATGTATGTTTGCATTTATCAGTTCTTTTTTTTTTTTTTTTACCCCCTGCTTGATCTGGTGTGTTGAATCTCTCTAGTGAAAATTTTAATTCAAGTATCATATCCTGCTTCAGCTCCATTCTTTCTGTTTCATACTTTCTGATATTATCCATTTCTTTGTTGAAAATTTCACTTTGTTGCTGGGTGTGGTGACACACACCTTTTAGCTCAGCACTTGGGAGGCAGAGGCAGGTGGATCTCTGTGAATTCGAGGCCAGGACAGAGATCCTGTCTTAAAAATCAGCTCCTCCAGACCCCCACAAAAAAAAAAAAAAGAGAGAGAGAGAGAAAGAAAGAAAACACCAGCTGTTTATGCCATTTCCTTGCCTTGAGTCTTCACATTCTTTGACTTTTCATGCTGGTGTCTATACTTTAGATAGAGCAGGCACCTCTCCCGGCTTCCACTATGAGGAAGAAATGACATGACCAGACTGTTCATCGTACATCAGCCTGACCAGAGACTCTGGGGTCCTCTACGACACTTTCCCTTGCTAGGGCAGAGCAGGCAGCCATGACTCTGCTGTGTGCTTATGTGCTGAGTGAGCTTGGCAGAGGAGGCTATTACCACCACAGCCAAAACCACCATCCTTCTCATGGCTGGACCATGTCAGGCCTGCCAGAACTCAGCACTGGCAAGACAGGTCCCCGGACAAATGGCGGCACTGACTGCGTGGCATCATTATTTTCCTTCTTGGGGAGAAGCTGAAAACTGGGACATTTTTTGTTCACCCATTCCAGGCTGAACATGGAGTAAATCCATGGCATCTTGCATCAGGCTTTTTCTTTTGGGCTACCAACCAGCTCCCAAATTATGAATGTTCAACCTTATCTTACGCTTGTCCCACTAGCTCTTCATTTCTTCTT